CATGGAAACAACTTTCCCCGATACATGGTTTCATAATCTCTCTCTATGTGCACAGTATTCTCTGTCAAAGACTTTCATGTACATTTTCACATTTTTGCATTACAAGAGTATTTGTTATTGCATACGGTTGAGCAATATCTAATACAATGGATCATTAAAGCAACGAAAAGTTATTCACATTATTATTCGGTAGTTCGCAAGGCTTTCTGTTATAATTTGTAAGAAATAAACATTTATCTAATTTGAATCGTTTATGTGATGTTACAGAACCCTGTGCAAGTTAAAGAAGTTCCTTGGCTCTTCATTTGAAGCATAGTTATACACTGTGTGTAACTTCTATATGTAATAACATTTGTACACAACTAGAATCTCGGTACAGTTCCCTGATACCAGCGCATTTCTAATATCAGCCAGTACAAATATTGTTAGTTCATGTAAATTCAATAGTATACACTGTAGATTTTTGTAGTACGATTGCTGTTGTTGCAAACCTACTAAACTTACATTACTAATTTTTTTTTCTTTTTTACCAGACAGATTTTTTTAGATGTAAATTATAATATGAATTTTCTTAAAGACATTTTCTTGAACGAGGTGGTGCTGCTTACCTCAATTTAAACTTCAAGCAAAATTTGTCTCACACAGTAGAAATCTATAATAATAAGGAAAAAAGAGTTCAAAGTATTATAACATTAAGAAACTGTATATTTATTTTACTTAATGGAAATCAGATAAGTTTACATATACAAATCTCACCTAATATTCTTCACAGAAACATGTTCTTATAAATAAGAATCTTGTTTTAGGATAGATCTAAAACATAAAAATAAAAGAAAGTTTAGAACACAACAGACAACTATTTCAAAAGCATTTTTATATAATTCACTTACAACTTGGCGCAGCTGCAGATTCAAATCTCTTTTGTATCTGATCATATGTGAATTTAACAAAAGCATCATATTGCTCAGATAGCTTCATATTTAGAATCTGATCATATTCTTCTCGGATCTGTGTTTCTTGTTCCTTAAGCATTCTCTCACAGATCAAACCAACCTTGAAAATAATGACTTACTTTATCCAACTTTGTATTACCACTATTAACATAAAGTAATGTGCATTTTATAATTATTTATCTGGAGTTATTAATATGTTGCATATACCTGTCTGAAAGTAAATAAGGGTTTTTCCTTTCCGCTAGGACTATAACTATATGAATTTGAACCGCATGCAGATGGGCTTGAAGGGCTAGCAGGACCTTCCATGTCTGAAGAGTCACCATTATTGTTTTGAGGACTAAAATGTAATTGTTTGCGTCGATGCAGTCTCCGAATTTCTTCTCTTATATTCGCAGCCATTTTTTCTATATACAAGGAAAACTATTGTCACTTGATCCTTTCTTTTTAATATTTCAGAGTTAATTTCATTTCAGTGAATTCCGAGATTCCTATTTAATATAAATCCAAAATTTCTTCACCATTCATACTTCCGGAACGTGTATTTGAAATATTAAAAAAATAAAACACAAAACAATAAATCCATGTAATAGTTAATTTAACGGACCGATAAATGTCAATAAATAAATACTGTATCGCTTAGAATCGTTAAGAATTAAAAACTTCTTTTCAAATAACCGAGAACAAGCATGTATATATATGTATATATATACGTATATATATATATAAAGAAGGAGAAAAGGAAGGTTGATTCCCCGATGTCCGTTACTACATTACCATATGATTTACGCGTCTTCCCCTACTAAAACGCCCTACCTCTTCCCACCCCCCTTTTTTAAACGTCGCGAATTCAAGTTTTAAATCGCTGGAATGGCCTCCTAACCACCCCTTCTCCCTGTCACATTGTAACGAGGAAATAGACAGAAACGGTGGGGCAAAGAAACAGAAAGAAGAAGAAGAAGAAAAAGAAAAATGGCCGTGGCGTATAGTTAATTACCAGGCGTCAGTTTGTGGGTTACTTCGCCGAAGGGCGAAGGATTCTGTGGCCTAGAGTTGGCTTGCGTCGATGTACCGGGCGAAACACACATCGGCACGCATCTTCGTCGTTTACTAGGACGACCATGACTATGCACCGGGTCGAACTCCAAAGATCTCTTTAAAGTGGCGCAGGCCATTTCTGCCGTTCACCGTCCTGGCTCACGACTGACACCCACAGATTATTATGGGTTTAGCCCGCGAGCAACGAATGATTATGCCGAAAAATACAGCAAAACCACCGTGTACGCGTACCGCCTGAACCGTTTCTTCGAGTGCACTCCGGTTGTTCTAGCTTTCTTCGTGCCGATCTCCTCGGATTCCGTCGTAGTCTAACAAGGCTGCACCAAAACAAACACTGCGGTAAAACAATATGGCTGGCAACCACGGTTCGTCGGCTAGGAACGACCACGGAACGAATGTCTCGAGCATTCAGAACACCATCTTTTCACTGGGCCACCGTTTGTGCATTCCGAAATGTATACGTCGCAGACTCGAATGAACGCAGGCACCTTCCCTCTGATTGGTCGAGACATTGCATGATGGCGTCCCTGTGCATTTCCTTCCTGCAAGCTGTTCCAATTGAAATACGAACATTCGAATATTTTCAACGATTTATTTTACGGTCGGGATGATCTTTTTATCTTTGAATATTTCAACGTTGAAATATTCCCGTATCAAATCAAATTACTGGACGCTCTAGAGTCAGCCGCCTATAATGGATAAAAGAACTCTTGAACTTAATAACCAGTTAAGCGTGTAGTTAACATATAGATATCGAAGAGTTTCATTGTATTACGTACTATTGTTCACGATAAGCTTGTATACGGTCCATTAATAGAGGTGATACAAGTCTTTCGGAAATTGAAAAAATCGCATTAGGGTAAGTAGTTACTTAAATCGTTAGAAGTGGAACGTAAATTTGCATCGCTTCTTAGAAACATGTATTCCCTGACGACCATCGTTGCGTAAATATCAAATTTCAAGCATATTTTTGTTAACATTCTAAATATAGTCGATTCATTGATCTCTTACGAATAGATATTATTACTTTGATTTATCATCATGAATCTTCTGTCGATAGTAAAGTATTTCACGGTAAAGCTATTGATGATGGGCAATTACGCAGGTTCGTACGACACTTTCGTTTGAAAATATGTAATCTTGTAAAGCATGCGCACGACTTCCGCTTATTCCCCATCTGATCACTTTAGGGAATTTTAAGCGGTGGTAAAGAGAATCTTCCGCCATTCTATATTCACAATTTTTGTGAAATTCTACATTTTTCTTGGTTTTCCGTAGCCCGTCCAAAAACCCGAGAAATAATGACATCGATGAGTCCAGTCGTGATAGCTGCTACAGCCAGACATACAGCCACGGCAAGTAAAAAAATAACAACTTTCTCGACATTTCTCTTTTTTGGTTATATCTAGTGCAAAATGATTCTTAATTTATCGTAAGTTAATTATTCTTTACATACTATTACCGCAAAGTATCAAACATATGTTCCATGTTATATTAACATTTATTGTGGAATTAACGTTTCTGTCATAATTTAAGATTAAGATACCTTGACTTGAGAGATTTGTTTAAATAACGAACATTGAACGTATCGATTGTTTTATTATAAACACGTGCGAGAAGATTTAAAACATTAAAAGCATATAATGTAGCTTTATAAATATTATTTGTTTCATATAATACAATTATATTATATTATTATTATTACAGCTGATATTTTTTCATGGATTGGGTGATACAGGGTGAGATAATGCATTATATAATACTACATTAACAATGCACATTGATATCACATGCTAATGTAATTTGCATTGGATATTACAGGCATGGCTGGGCCAGTTCAATGAGTGCAGTACGATTACCTCATATTAAAGTTATTTGTCCTACTGCGTATGTATAATTTTCTGAAATAATAATCTTATGGTGATTTTGTGAGTGTATAATTTAGTTTCATTATTTTAGGCCTACAATGCCAGTGACATTAAATGCAGGATTCAGAATGCCTTCGTGGTAAATATGCAAAACTAATGTGCACAACAAATTGCGATACATTATTCAATAGTATAATAAAAAGTAAGAACTTGTATGGCACTATTAAAGAAAAGTTTTATGCATTGACAAATTTAGGTTTGATTTGCGAACATTGGATCCAAGTGGAGTTGAAGATGAAGAAGGCATGAAGAAAGCTGCAGAGATGGTGCACTCTTTAATTGCAGAAGAAGTTGCAGCAGGAATACCTACAAAGCGCATTGTAATTGGTGGTTTCAGTCAGGGTGGTGCTTTAGCTATATACAGTGCTCTTACATTTCCAGAACCCTTAGCTGGTATCATTGCTTTATCATGTTGGCTTCCTATGCACCAAAAGTTCCCTAATGTAAGTATTTCAGTAGGAAATTTAAATAATGAGTGATACACTAATATTTACATATTACAATGTTAACATCTTGTACTTCTTAGGCAGCAATAGGAAACAGAAATACTCCTTTGCTACAATGTCATGGCAACTGTGATCCACTAGTGCCGTATAGATGGGGACAAATGACTGCATCATACCTAAAGCAATTCATGACACAAACAGAATTTAAAACATATAGAGGAATGATGCATGCATCTTGTGATGAGGTAGGGAAAAGTCACATGTAATTTGACAGTGAGCATTATTTAAGTTTGTAAGAAATTATTAATATTTGATAATGATTATTACTTTCGCAGGAAATGAGTGATATGAAGAAATTCATTGAAAAAGTATTGCAGCCATAATAGTTCTATTAAACACATCAATGTTTTAAGTGTTAATCTTATTACCTTTATTGTTCTTTATTAAATTAATTACTTCCAACATTACTGCTACTTAAGTCTAGTGCTTGGAGAAGAAATAAATGCAGTAGTAGGTGAAAATATTTAAAATCTTCAAAAAAAGAAAAAAAAACAATACTAGTACTAAATTATTATTTGGATAAATATTTATTTTTATTCTTTTATCGCATTTGTTAA